CTGCGGCACGCTTACTTTCTCTGCAGCAGCGGTTACTCTTGACTGGCCTGCCCTCACGATCATTTTGTATCACGTCACTGATCAGTTTTCTGCTTTGATTCCTAGGACTGTGATGCCAGTGTCCCTAACTTCTACCCTCATGTCAACAACCATCTACGTGCCAGATTCTCAGTCAGTTTCAGTGCAGGTATCAGCAGGTTTCCTCCTTGTGCAGCGGCGGTCGCTCTAGAGCTGCTTGCCCTCACAACCTCACCAAACATGGCCAAGTCAGTAACCCTGCTACAACTCCCGTCAACATCCCAGCGTCGAAACACACACTCAGAACTCATACAGCCTCCAACTTGTTGATTTCCACATCAAGTGCCTTCAAACAGTTTCCACACACGAGTCATCTCACTTCCCTCAGGAAATGCTATAGGTTTCAGTCTGCAATAGAAAACCCAGAGGCTGCAGGCCCAATGCCGGTCAAAGAAGTAAAGATGAGGGCAGAAGATGGTGACATCAGCGATCTCCTGCCCTCATTCTGGCGCTGGGACAGCAGGTTGACTCATCTCTATCCTCCCATTCAACAAATACGGCTCTCGTTCTTGCACAGAGATGTCACTTTTACTCATCTCTGTCCTCCACTACGACAGTTTTGGCTCTCATTCTGGCACAGAGATACCAGTTTCAGTCATCTCTATCTGCTGCTTAAACATTTTCGGCTCCTTCTGGCACCAGGATGCCAGTTTCACTCATTGCTGTCCTTCCATTCAACAAATTCGGCTCTCATTCTGGCACTGAGATTCCAGTTTCACTAACCTCTTTATATCTTTGTCAACAGTCTGCTTGTTACACTTCTGGCACTGGGTCACAGGTTCCTCCCACCATGGTACCCCCATCAACCTTCTGTTTAAATGTCCAGCTAAATGCCAGTGGCACATACCTCCACTGACCACGCCAACAAGTCCCCCAAGAGCATTCAAATCAGGCATCTGAACCACCTCAACTGGATGCTTTTGGCGCAAAGGCAAGCTCCCCCCGGATGGCAAGCTCCTAGCCCTGTTTCAAAGGCCATGCTTAGCCAACCGACGGAGGAAACTAAATTTGGCCACTTGTACCCGCAATTCCATTCTTCCATCACCATCTAGAGCTCATGACCATAGGTTAGGGTTGGCCGGTAAATCGAAAAACTTCCCATCAGGCTCAGCTCCCTCCTCATCACGATGTTTTAGCACAACGCCAACATTACCGCTGATGCTACGCCAAGTTGCCTGTCCATCTCATGCTCTGTTGTTCCATCACGCATGAGCAAGATCCCAAGCAGCAGTTATCTCTTCCCAGACATGCTCCTACTGCCGGTTTTGGGGGTTTCTTGGTCATCGATGCACTTCATGCCGTCGGCTCACAATTCCTTCAAAAACCTCTCCAGCCGTCTTCAGCAGTATTCAAGCTCTAACTTATTGTTACCGCTACCCTCTCCTAGAGCCACAAATCGTCAAGTAAAAAATCCATCCTCGTTCACTCCAATAACCTTGACATCTTTGTGAACAAATGTCAAAGCTACTCTCCAACAGTCACGCCTTTCACTCTAGAATCAGCGTTTTTGTTGGCCTTCCTCTGTTCCTGCGATGAACAGACTTCATTACAACGTCAACCACTGAGTCGAGTTCGATCTGCGCTGCACCTCTTTGACATCCTGTATTCCATCTCCAAAGACTGCTTGGTCTATTCATTCAAACAAAGCCAAACAAATCAAGCGGGGTTATTATGTACTTCAAACTAGATTCACACCCGAGCCCTTACACATCTGTAGTCCAGGATGCTTCACCTTCCAAACCACAGTTTGTTACAGAGGCTGGTCATCGTTACCCCAACTCCTGCTGATCCCTGACTAAGCATTTCCCCACAACGCATCAGCTCAACTCAGGCATCACCAACACAACACTCATTTTCATTTAATCAACAGTCAAGCTTCAATTTGATGGTGTGGTGGAGTTCTGTTGACTTCATTAGCGTTTCACCTGAGGTTGTTTTCCTCAGATGTCAACCACAATAACCTCAAACACCACCCTAAGGATGCCAACATAGCAGAAAATGTTTAGCGAACAAAGCCTAATGCTGTGGAAATCAACAATGTAATGTGTTTTTTTTTAATTGTGATGGATGATGTTGATGTTTCCATTGCAAAAATCAAATTCAAACAGAGAAAAAGCAGACCATAATACAGAAATAGGTGGTTTTGTTTTGGTATAATTTTTACTGCTTTTAGTATTCAGCTCTTTTTTTTTTTGCTATCTACTTGTCTGCGATCATGAGCAGTAATGTTCCAAACACTGATCTGCCGTGTTATCCATTTTAATCTATTCTACATGACAGACAAGATTATTCTTTGTGCTGAGGCAGCAAACAGCGCCGCTCTACACGAGCCTTGTAGCAGCAGCGATTGAAGCAGCCTGCATAGAGGGAATCGCTGTTCTGTGATCAGTGACCAGAGCCCCTCGGCCATCGCTGTCATTATCATTTGTGCACACAGCCCAGAGCTGAGTCTTGAACAGCACCCACACACAGAGTCGCTGGGTAACACCAGGCCTGGGGGAAGATGCTGGATGGCCTTTCTGTCTCAGTCAACAGAGGAGAGTTTGTTTCCTCTTTTTTTTGTGACTGACTGACTAACTGTCTGTCACTGTCTGACAGAATAAGCTGCTGTATAGTCAAGAGGGAACACTTGATTAAAATGCGTTTCATTTTTGTTTATTCCAGACTTCTGTTGCTTGGAATCCAGCAATAAGAGCATGTTCCACAAATTCACCTGCAAGCTCAACCCGCTATGTTTTTTTAAAACGGAGGATGTAACTGAATCCCGTTTTTCCTGAATGGATGCTCTCTGTGCAACTTCTTTTTTTTTTTTCACTGTCTGAAATTCTCATTGTTATTTCGTTTGATGCAAGCCGAGGTATGATGATAGGCAATTTGGAACAAAGACAGGAAAAGTCTGTCTCCTTTCCAAGGTCACCGGCCTTTCTACTGTTTCCTTTCCGCTGCACCGACTGGAGAGATTGATTTGAATAGAAATCAACTCCGCATGCAGCCAAGTAGGGCAAAATGATGCTTGTGTGTGTGTGTGTGTGTGTTTTAGACTTAGAAAGCAGCACAGGCTTGGTTTGACATGTTAATTCCTGCATGGCGAGATAATAAGATGTGTGATTAGACTACGTAATCATGGTTTTGTGAAGTGTATTTCAGGAGAACAATCCTTTTGTTTGATTTAAAACTTCTCACCTGACAAAAACAAAAAAATGGTGAACAGGAATGCTGCTTAAAGTGACTCGCTCTAATCGTGTTTATACGATCTGTTGTCACTGCTTGTGCTCTGTAACGCTGTTCAAGGTTTTAGGATGTCATTTTAGATGTTTAGATTATTATCCACCATTAGAGAGGCGCCTGATTGTTCCCATATTCATCCGGCAGCATGACAACAACCTCAAACATGCAGCCACAGTCATAAAGCTCCGTCTTCAGCAGCGTGAAGCACGAGGAGTCCTGCAACAGATGGTTTGGCCCCCACAGAGTCCTGATTTCAGCTCTGTGTTGTCAGTCTGTGGTGAAGAGACTGAAGAGATGGAGACAGCTGAAATCCACAGAGGAACTGTGGCACATTCTCCAAGATAAGGAAACGATATTCAATCGACTGAGGTTTATTTTCCTCTTTCATGCCTTTAGTATGAAGTTAAGCATTAGCAGTGATATTATTTTCTAACATGTCTTTCATATTATATTGTGGAACATTCAAAAATTGTAAAAAACAAACAAACAAAAAAATTTAAAACATTTCCTGATAAACAATTTTTCCAAATAATTGCAAACATCTGTAAAATAGTGACTTTTTTTGTTGATTTAGAAACAGTAAAAAAAAAAAGAAAAAAAAGAAGGAAACAAAAAAAACCACATTATTTACTGTTTTGGCCATTTTCAAAGGATTAATGTGTAAATTAATTTTTTAAAAAATAGTAAAAAAAAAAAAAAATTTTTACAGTTTTGGCCATTTTTTCTTTTTTTAGGATTAATGTGTAAATTAATACTGAAAATAAATGAATAAATGAATGAATGAATAAATAAATAAAAAACCCAACAACATTATTTACAGTTTTGGCCATTTTTTAGGATTAATGTGTAAATTAATACTTAAAAAAAAAAATAAATAAAATAAAAATTTAAATTAAAAAACAACATTATTCACAATTTTGGCCTTTTTAAAAAGGATTATTGTGTAAATTATTACTAATTTTACTAGATATAAAGGGGAGAATTCTGTAAAATAATAAATTGCAAAATAATAATAATAAAATAAACAATAAAACATTAAAAACATTCTTTCTTTTTTATAAGCAAATTTAAAACAGTTATTTCAACATGACCGACAATAATATTGAGATGTTGCTTGTGTGTTAGTGTGCCAATAATAATAATAATTATTATTATTATTGTCAATGTTACGATTGTTATTATTATCATTATTACTATTGCTATTGTTATTATTATTATTATTATTATTAGTAGTAGTAGTAGTAGTAGTAGTAGTAGGAGTAGTATAAGACAATGAAATACAATTTTTTAAACAAATTTACTGATTTTTCCACAAAAGGATATTTAGGAATTTCACAGATTCCTCCTGGTTTGGAGAATAACAATATGACACAAGTCTATATATTGAAAAACAATGGCATACCACAGATTCTTCAATGTGTAAAAATACTGATTTTGCACAGATTCTTGTACATACATGCAAACTGATATTGCACAATTTTTAAATCTGCAAAAATATTTCTAAAGCACAGGTTAAAGGTGCTGAGGTTGCACCAGAGTGAAATATTTCAGTGTCAACGTGCAGTCTAGCAGCTACTGTTCTGCTTTAGTTCGAGGATGAGATTTATGGTTTCCAGGAACAAAAAGCAGGACGTGCGCTTTCTAATGTGGGACCAGATGATGTGATGCTGCCCTCTCCTGTACGCACTCAGAGATGAAGTCAACATGTCAAACATAAATCACTTTAAAATAAATAAATAAATAAATGAAGAGTCTGAATGAGCTCTGAGACAGTTGGCTTTGTGCTGAACCGCAGCCCAGAGAGTCCGGATTTGTCCGTCATTGCTCTGCGCTATCTGATCCGCTGTCAGGATGAGGAAAACGCTGGAGGAGACTCTGGATCTGGGCGGAGCTTAAACTTTGGGGACTTTGTTCGAAAAATCAGCAGAGTTTTGTTCTTTTTCTTCCCCCTCTGCAGTCATCGGGGTGGCTCTGAGTGATCAGGAGGACCAGTTGGACCGAGCCAGCCAGCCTCATGGGCCTCTTCAAGTTCGTGTGTGCCATCATCACCAGAGCGCTGTTTATCTTCGTCTCCCTGGCCGGCGTCTGGAGGGTGACATGGGTGAAGAAGGACCCCAACTACTGGTTCCTGACTTTCCTCTTCCTGCCGCTTGTTGCTGAGATGATCATAACGCTGAAGAGGAGGAAAGGAAAAGATTACAAATGGTAAGAAGTGGTGCATGCACATCAGATTTTAATATTCATTTTTGTGCGTAAATAAGTACATGAAGCTTTGGTCATCTTCATCCAGACTTCACCCCTTCCCCCACTAACCAGCACACACCCCCGCATCCTGCTTCTCCCTCTGCTGCTATTGTTAAACCGTCCTGGGACACTGAGGATGGGGTGGTACTCCCCTAAACCCTCATTCCAGGAACTCCCCCAAACAGACTTCCTGCATGCATGCATGATATTAATTTGCAAACAACATTCCTCGTTTTTATTTTCTTGGCATTGGTTGAACTTTCCATTTTCATGCAGCGTATAAAGAATCTAGTGCATTGTGTTGGATTGCACTATGAGGAGAAGCATCCATCCATTAATGTTCAGCTCAGAGATGTGCAAATCATGCTTTTCCTGTTTAATTATTCAAAGTGAAATGAAACAGAGGGAACCTGTTTGTATGGCTGCAACTGGTAATCACTAAAAATTAGATCACCTTGATGACATTATTATCAGTATCGGCCGATAAAAGCTTTAAAATGAGCACTGACAGGCCGATAACAACATCCAAACTAAACCTTTACACAACAAAAATAGAGATGACAAGTTTCACATGTTAGTTAAAGTCATTTTCTGATGTTGCACAGTCGTAAAAAACACTGAATTTTCTGTCTGCACCTGCCAGTGGGCAACATGATTAAAATATGTTAGGAAAGCTGTGCTGTGGCTGTGCTTGAATTGGAACGATGAATGATGGATTTTAGAAAAACAAAACAAAAAAACTTGAATTTGTTAAGTCTCCATATAAAAACAAGTGCTTTAATTTGGTTGTGTGACTGTGACTATGCTGCAAAGCCACTGTTTTTTTTCTGTGCATAAGCTTGTCTGGCCTTTGATATTTAATCATTCTGAAGGTCTCTGTGGTTCAGTCTGTCTCATAAAAACAGTTTGAAGACGCCAAAATAGGCAGAGGAGTGGCTTCAAGGAAGTTCTATGAAAACTTGGTTTAATTACGGCAGGCAAAAAACCTCAAGACAATGCTCTGCCTTTGCGTTACGTGGAGCCAATATTCCTTCGCATTGAAAAGAGCCAGCTGAGGTGGTTTGGGCATCTGAGGAGCCCTTACAGGAGTAGATGAGATATTAATGGAGGAATTACATATCTCATTCGGCCTGGGATCTCCCAGGAGGAGCGTTGCAAAGTGCAGAAAAATTGATGGATGGCTCATAATATGTTGATTTTTCTGCAGGAGAGAGCCGATGTTCGCTGGAAAATATAGGTGCACTGAAAATCAGAGTTGGAAAATATCTGCATATCTTCAAAAATCAGACGTCGTGCATCCATAGTCAACAACCTCAAAGCTGGAAATCTTGATATTTGAGAGGCCTGAGCTCCACATCATTGCCTGCCAGTGGTTGAAACAGTCATTTGCTTTTCAGATTTACAGTCAGTGACTCAGTGTTGTTGGTCGTTTTGCAGGTTTTCTCCCCCCATCTTTCTGTTTCTCATCAGCATCATTCCCTCCATCTGGCTCCTGGAGCTCCACCACCAGCAGGACAAAGCCAGCGACCCTCAGGTACTCCCTTGCCAGAAATGAAAATACCTTCTCACTGTGTAACTGCCTAAATCAACAATTCTCCTGCTTTCCAAACGTGTGATCTGACAACAGATGTTGGTGGGTGGGAAGGTTGCGGAACTCTCTGCGCATAAAGCTGCACTTCATTACGCATCCATCAAATGCTGCATTTGCTTTTTTAATGTGACGGTTTTAAAAGGTTTAACTGCAGCGAAAAGTACAAGTTGTATGTAAAAATGCTGCCTGTAAAAGCTTCTTTTTAACTGTTTTCAGTGCAAAAGGCTCGACTCCTGGGAGAATTTGCGTAGAGTGATCACTGTGAACGAGACCCAGGGAAACCACACCTACCACAACTACTTCAAGGCAAGTGACAGACTGAAAAAAGAATTTCACTTCACTTATTTCTCACAGCAGAATATGATTTCTTGTGAAATTACTGTAAAAACCAGACATGAAGAAGAGAGATGATTTTCTCATGATGTATTTGTTGGGAACATTGTCATGAGGATTGATGTCACGCGTACGGTAGTGAAACTAACCGAGAACTCAAACGATAACTGAACAGTTCTCAGGAAACTCTCAAGAAGCTGCTCACATGGGTCTCCTTACGCACATTTTGGACAGATTTTATCCGCCGCTGTTTTGTTTTACAGTAATTGCAACAACGAGTGCACGTCGGGAAACACAACGGCTAATAAAAACCACAACATGGCGTCTTTATTTCTCGAGGTTTTGCAGGTATTGATTGTGCTGAGTTTCCTTGCCAGGCTAAGTGTTTCCTCCTGCTTCCAGTCTTATTGCTAAGATAAGCTAACCGCCTGCGGGCTTTAGGTTCATATTAAACTCTGTCCAGGAAAAGCCAGAAAGCAGAGCTCCCAGTATGTTGAGCAAATCCTTCAACATGGAAATCTCTTGCTGGTTTTCCTTGAAACGACAAGCGGGGATTTCTCGATTTCTTTAAAAACACTGGCACTGCAGTGCGGTTTTCACACAGTATGTAGGGTAGTGAAACCTGTGACTCAGCTGGTTTTGCTGACTTTTGCTTCATGCAAACCATCCATCCATATATAGCATTAACTTAAGATTTAACCCACTTTATCTGGTCAGTAGTGCAACTTATCGACTTATATTCAAACTGCAGCATGCGCCTGCCTGTCTGTCTGTTTTAACTGTGAACTCAGGGTCAAAGTGTTGCCATTAAGCTCTTAAGGCCAGTTTTACAGAGAAACACTTACCTCAGATTGGGAATCCAGATGCATCCCCAGGCGCTAAAGAATTTAGAAGGAACTCACTAATGGGAGCGGTTGAATACCTCCTCGTGAATACATTTCTGGATCATAAGAAGGAACTTTCTCTCTTTATTACCTCTGATGGATTTTAGAACATCATTCATCAGCAGAACTTGAAGAGTCGGTTAATTGTGCAGGATTGATTTAGGAGTTGAAAGAAACTTTGATGCAGGCAGCAAAGACAGCGAATGATGTCAGTTGTTGATTTGCTCCGACACACTTTTCTTTTGCATGTACAGACATTTTATTTTCAGGTTCTGTACAATACATACAGTCATCCTCAAATGTATTCATAGCCTTCCGGTAAAGAAAAGGCAAAATTTACAATAGTCACTCAAATAACAAGAAACTGAAAAAGTAATAATAAATAAAAATTTGCTAAATTATAATCTAGTGATATAAGACATTGCTTTTGAATGGTGGTTGAATAGAATAATTTAAAAAAAACAAAACAAAACAAATATCATAATAATAACAAAATATTAGTTTACGGGTCCCATCATGCTTGTTTGCTTTTTTTCTTTTATTTTCTTTTAATATTTCTGTTTAACCACAATTCAAAAGCAATGTCATGATGTTCATTAAATTTTTATTTATTATTACTTTTGTCAATTTCAGCTTATTTCAGTAACAGCTGTTTTTTTCCGTCTTTAATGGTAGGGTGTAAGAAAATTTGAGGACAACTGTATGATCCTCCTTGTTATGTATTTGTCCATTAAAAAATTTGTTCAGGCGCCTTTTAGGACACTTTCCTCGCACCAATATATGAGTTACTTCTGCTTAAAGGCTTCTAGAATTTTATATTAGAGGAGGAGGAATATCAGGACCTGACATGCCGGTGAATACTTTCAGAGGTCTTATCAGGAGGCAACGGAAATGATTTCAGTTTTGATTGTAGTAGAAGAGAGCTGTGAGTCATCCAAGCAATGAATTAGCAAGACTTGAGAGGTCGCCAGTTCACCAGTATCACAGCTCAGTGTTGTCTGCATAGAAGGGGATATTCGGTTTGAAGGCAGATGATATGTATGAAACCAGTGGAACAATCAAATAGATCCAACACTTGACCCCTCTGAACGGGCAGTTTTATAATTAGGATTACAACCATTTACCAGACAGCAGAGCCCATTTTCTTGGACAACGGCATCACTCAGATCAAGAAGAAGCTGTCTTTGAGCGACGAATAAACCAGTGGCTTAAAACAATGAATTAAATCACCAGAATGAGAGAAAGTTGCTCTGCAAGCAGGAAAACATTACACACGAAAATTAGAATAAACTACAATCTCCACTTCATTATTCTTATAACAGCAGCAGCAATTAAGTCAGAGAATGTGGAAGAAAACGTTTAGCTCAGACAGATCACATCGAAACAGAGCGAACTTCTGCCATTAATTACAAACCCGAGAGCCAAAAAACCAGCGTGACCGAAAACAGTAAGAGGAGAGCATTTGCATGATTTATATCGACAGCATCTGGACCACAGCACCACACCCGTTCATCCCCAGAGAATTAAAAAGATAAAACTCGGTGGGCACAACTCCAAAAAGCTGGCTTCAGGCACCAGCCCCTTACTGTGTTTGAAACAATGTCCCAAGTTGTGCAACAGGATGAAGTAACTGAAGAACAACGTGATGTTCTGCAAGACATTAGAACCATCAATACCTCGATGTGAATATTAGGTTTAGTGTCTGTTCTTAAAGCCTAATATAGCCGTGCACCATAGACCTCCATTGTTGTCCAGAAACTATTAAAAACACATGAATAATTCACGCCGATGCTAGCGGGTGACGTGTCCCTTCATTAAGAGGAATCCGGGCGTTGTGGTTTATTTAGAGTCTCTCCCACACTGACCTTCCTGTTGCTATAAATACTCACAGGAGCAACAAATCCGCCACTGAAAAAAAAAAAAAAGTCCCCAACAGTTAAACTATTTATCCTGTTTCAGCGTTACTTGCCAGAAACTACAGCGCCATGCTGTTTTAGGAAATTACTGAGCGCTTTTTTTGTTTGTTTTTGTTTTTTTTTTTTTAGAAGTAAAGGTATGGACTCACTGAGCACTTTATTAGGAAGACCTGTGGAATCTAATGCTGTAAATTCTCCTTTTACGAAGCTTTAGACGCTTTCTGTGAGAAATAATTCCCTTTGTTTCATGAAGGTTTTAGGAAGTGGTGTCGGGTTGTAATATTATATTTCATCCAGCCCATTAACATACATGAGAGCGGATGGATCGCATTTGATGGCAAAGCTAATTCTGATAAAGTGCTTGGTGAGTGCATGTTTGTTTTGAAAGATTTACATCTCCAGGAGGATTGATCGGGCCTGGAGAGCTACTGACAGTGCAGGGAAATAATGGGTTGTTGATTTGGTCTTTCAGTTGGATTTGTTTGGAGTAAGAAGAATTTAAAATTTAAGAGTGGCTTACTGTATGGGAAACATGTAGTTGACCAAACATTACAGGGCCTATAAATGGAGTGGGAGGAGAGGTTTCATGAAGCCAAGTCACGGTTATTTATATAGCAATTTTAAAACAACAATAGTTGACCCAAAGCGCTTTCCAGTAGAGAAATAGGAATAATATCACAGATTTACCCATTAAGTTTAAATATTAAGGTTAAGACTCTACAATATTAGACTGTACATTATACACATTTGCATAACATATTTAAATAATTAGTTTGGGACCTTGGAGTATTATAGAAAATACGAAACTAGTTTAAATATTAAGGTTAAGACACTATACTATTATGTAGCACACAAATTTAGCTGACCAGTTTCAGTGTTAGGGTGTGATGCTACAATATTACATTATTTAGGTTAACATTGAGGTTTAAATCGTATTATATTATGGGCAAAGGGATGTGTTTAGGAAGCAAGCATTCCCGGGTTAGAGCTAATTTATGCATACGTTATTGACGCGTTTCATTGCATGATCTCTGGACCAGCGATATATTAAGGGGGGTAACGTGAAAAAGAAATCCAGCCATAATATCACTGTCTCCTCCTTTTCCAGAATATTGACCAGGTGTTGTCGTCCGTCTGCTCCAATGACTGGATCCTGGCTCTCCATCAGATCCTGCTCATCCTGCTCATCGTGGGGAAGTGGCTCCTCCCACTGGGGGGCGGAGTCACCAGGGACGAGCTGTCTCAGCTACTTCTGATTTTTGTGGGCACGGCGGCGGACATCCTCGAATTTACGAGTGAGACGCTGTCAGATGTCAAGTGGGTGACTGATCACGTTAATATCTAGACTGAGGTTGCAAATACATACGAGCATGTTTACATTTAAAACAGACAAAGCTGTTGACAATACATCAATGCAGTCACTGAAATAAGCTCTGAAACTGAGTCTTTCTATACCCCCCATGTGTCTCTTGCAGAGAGAACAGTCCTCAGCTGGTCTACATCATCCTAGCTGTATGGACGTGGAGCATGCTGCAGTTTCCCCTCCATCTGGCCGGTCAGTGTGTGTTTGTGTGTTAAAACAATAACTGTGGTGCTCACTGAGCAGTTACAGCAGGGCAAAGAGGTTCAAACCCTGTTCCCAGTGTGGGACAATCTAAACAATGTGTTTGGAAACCGACAAAACATTAGTAGAGTCCGATCGTCCAAGCCAGCGCTGTAAGTAAACAGTGAGAGTAGATCAGCTGCTCTTTTATCTCCAGAGCTGTGAAATGATTTACCCGAAAATGTGTTTTTGCTTTCTAAGGACTGAATAAACCATAAGGGCTTAATCACAGACACAGAGAGGAGCTTATTGTAAATGCTAATAGTCTCAAGAAGGGACTCTAAGGTTGGACTGGGACTGCTGCATCTTTAAAGGTCTCATATTGAAGCTCTTTTTAGAAAGTTAATGCGAGTCCTGCATGTACATAGAAGGTGTATTTCAAGTTTCAGCTCAAACAACTGCACAAATCTTTCTTTCTAGCATTCCCACAACACTCCTGCTTGTAGCTCAGTTCCTAATGAAGCGTTTTAGTGTCTGTAGCTTTACATCTAATTGAGCTATTTTCAGTTCCACTTAAATTAAGTGAATCTCTTTTTTTTGGTGCCATTTTAAGGAGAAATCTTTCATTGTATTGTTGAAGTAAAAGCTGGAAAACAGTGACTCAGAAATGTTTACCGTTAGTTTACAGTCACATCGTTAACTGGCCTGTTTGAGCATTTTCCAAACTAGTCGTGGGTGCAGGATGTTATGATGGGAAAGATAACGAGATAAAAGCTGTTTGAGCCGCTGAATGAGAATGATCAGAGGGAGCAGCAATAACACAGAGCTCCCAAAAGGCCCCATTGACTGGCGAGTCCGCTTCCTTTTCAAAAATCCAGTTTCCCTCCCCAAACTTTTTCTCTGCAAGCGCTTCTTTTGGTTTACATGCATTCTAAAGGATTTACAGGTTTATTGAAATAGCAGTGTGTGCTTGTAGCTTTCAGCTCGTGATGGGTTCAAGGCTGGAGAAGTTTGTGACAAAACAGGCTGAATACATAAACGGTTCATTCAGAGACATGCTTTGTGATTTGTGCAGAACAGAAAGAAACAAGATAAAAATGCATTAATTCCAAAGGAAAAACAACAGACGTAGCAGAAGAAATGGAGTGCTTCAAAAGTAAAGAGCGATAAGATGTAATTATGATGCATTAAAACAAGTCAGCTTAAATAAGGCTAGACTAGAACGGTACAAAGTAATGCTGAGATAATAATATTGAAAACTGAATGAAAATTAAAATATTGTACGTTACATC